TGTTATTGTTATTGTTATTATTATTATGGTGTAGAACTCAAGATGACAGAATTAAGACTTCAGCTTCTATCTACTCCTATAGTGGTTTCATGTTCTCTCAATTCCACAAGTATCCACTTTCTATTTCAAATCCAGTGCTTGCTTTCCATGTTTTCTGAGTGTTACTTAACTTGTCTGTATGTTTTTTCGATTCTTAAAATAACTAGAAATGCTCTTATTAAGTTCTTTCATAGAAATGCCAGAAACATGTTTTCTTGTATTCCCTTCTCCACTAGTTAAATGGATAGGTGACAGGTGGAGATTGCCACCTCAAATTCAACCTTACCCTTTCAAGATGATTAGGTCTTCCTTACAGATCATTTTTTGTGTGTCAAGCTCTACGTTTTTTCTTTTTTAAAGCTATTTCTAATTTCAGTCCTCACTTCAATCCACTTGAACTCAAGTTGGAGATGTTTAAATATAACATATGTATTTGCATGTATTCCTATCATACTACTTTCAAAAACAAACACATTGCAATACAGTTTTGTGCTAAAAACAGTTGCAGAAAAATACAAAAACAGTTTTATATATATTTATATATGTTATATGTATATATATGCCTAGCTTAAGTAAAAATTTTCTTTATAAATCAATTTGCTGCTGTTCTGCAATAGATAAAATAACTCTTCCTCCAACCCTGGTTAGACAAATAGTTTACATCTCTACTAATAAAATTTTACATAGGTCATAACAGATTCATTATGGCTATGATTATTTGGCTAATATATTATCATGGCTGAGTGTTGAACACCATTACTAAGTAATCTCAACAAGTTAAACAAGCAATTTAGTAAACTAAACAAGTTAAACAAGTAATCTCAAACAGCTTAACCAATATGATTTTACAGTGCAGAGAGTGGCTGGTAGTTACAAAGCCACAGGCAGATGGTTTGCGGATAATATGTGAAGTGAAATGTATGAAGGATATTTATAATTCCAGTACAATCAATATGTCTTTCAAAATATAAGTGATGATTTTGCAGAAGAAAGAATTACAGCACATATTACTCACCACATCACGAAAAACAACTGCTCGTAGACGATTAATATCAACATCCTGAAGAAGCCTATCAGGGTCTTTTATGGGAGAAAGATTGCCAGGGACATTTTCAAGAGGAGCCTAAAAATAAAAAGTAGTGAGATTTTTTTTGTCCCCCCAAACATCAAAGCACTTCTGTTAGAACCTTAATCTCTTTTTAGATATTACATCAGTCGTAGAAGATATATTACTACCAACATACTTTTTATTTCTGTGTGTTACATTTGAAAATGCTGAACAAAAATATAAAAAAATAGTTATGTTAATTTTGCTGAGCCCTATTACAGACTACATACAGAAAAACTACTGTTATTAAAAAAGTGTAGAGTAGTAGTCATCCTTTAAAATATACTAATGTATTACAAATTATACCGGAACAACTAAAAGTCTCTTTATACTGATTTGCTTTGCACTGAGTGTGCCAATGTGAAAAATGTAATGTTTTTGTGGGATTTCATGAAAAAATATTGTGAAAGGAGCTGAGTTTGTAAAGGCTATCTGAAAATTTCTTTAGAGAAGAAAAACCACTGAATTTAGTAATGAAAATACCGTAGCAAAAAACAGAATCCTTTCCATCATGCAGTGTGTTGTATTTTAGCCACAGGCTGTCCCAAATTTTTTCAGATTTTAGTTTTAGGATTGCCAAAGTCTTAAAGCCATAAATGAGTTTAAAAAAATGAACAATGCATTAATGAAAATGGAAAAACTAAGCTGTAATTGAATAGTCAGTAAGTTTCATTCTTAAAATCAGATAGTAAGTACTGTATGCAAAAGTCTGTTGAAGTTACTGGGACTCAGATGTTCCACCCACAAAGATGTGATTTCAGGATTTCATCAAGTGCTCTGACAGAACAAAAAAGCTATGCAGGTATATATGACACATGTGAGGTAAGGGGACTCGCTCTTTGAAGCAGACCAAACAAGAGAGAAAAAGCTGTTTAGAATTGCTCCAGTCATACTACTGAATTAAAGTTTCCTTTTTTTCAAGTAACTCACATTCTTTTACCATAAACCAATTAATAGCAAACCCAAAGTTTTTGCTAAATAATTGAGATGTTTGTTACAATTACTTTCTGATCCTAAAAAGCAGTGGTTCAGACTTGTCATTGTTGCTGGTTATTGAAGACTGGGTTACCTTGGTTGCTGCAGATGCAGTTACACCCTGAAGAGCATCTTGAGCTTTACTGCCAATTATTGACGTCTTGTTCACCCTCTCTCTTTGCCTCTGCCGACATTCTAAGCAGTTTCTCACAGCCACACAACAAACTAAAAAAGAAGACATGAAAATGCCACAAATCAGAATACATTCTCACTCTTATATGCAGCACATCAATTAATTTCTACATCTAGTGTGATGTGTCCAAAGAGTAAATGCAACATAGTTCTCACAAGAGAGATTCTGTCAGTAATAAAAAAGCATTATGGTGGTTTATTAGTTCATTCTTTAGCTGAACAACTAAATGCTTTATGTAACTGGTATATCACTACACTGAAATTTAAAAATTATTAGTCCTTGGGTTGGATCATGTTATTGATCATCTATAAACACTTATAATCTCAAAGTACTTATGTACATCTAGAATACAAAAAAATAGTAGGCAGTAATTAAGAATTTGAGTAAAAAAATTATAATTGAGAATTAACCACAAGTTTTATACCAGGAGCAGTAAAATTATCAATGATATAATAAGTGGTATGACTAACAACAGGACACAATCTGAACACAAAAGTTATTCACCATTTAAGAGAAGAAAAGATATGTGGGACATAACATTAGCAAAACAGCATCTTGCCAGATGACAGTACAAATTTAATGTTCACCACATGAAGTGATATAGTTTGAATAATTCATAATTTTTAAAAAATTTCCTACATCAATTGTACCAGTATATAGCAAATAGTAAAGAGTGAAGAGAGATGCCATAGTGTTGCAACATATATTAAGGTCTACAGCATCTGCACAAGGATCCCAGGCCTATCTTACCAATCCATGGAGACTTGGATAAGAAAACCCGCAACATGTATGTAGCAAAGCAGTTTTAAGAAAAAAATATTATCCATTTACTTCCTTATATTTAATTTTTTTTACTCTCCCCAAATAAATACAACTTGAAATACATATGAAATAACAATTTCAGACATGTCATTCTTGTGATTAAATTGAATTGACCATAAAAATGTATCAAATCAATAATAAATGGATTTTTATTTTCTCACATCATACTCCACAAGTCCTTCCCTACATGTGTCACTGTATGATCCATCTATAAATCATTGATCTGTAAGTAATTATTTAATATGTACTGTCTGATGACTTACCAAGCCTTAGGCACTGTCGCATTAGACCTCCAGAAGACATGTTTTTTTCAGCTTCAATCTCACTAAAATTTAGAGAACTGGCAAATACTAGTACATCAACCATTGCCATCAGACGGCTGAGAAATGTTACTGCTGTCTCTGCTGACATTCCTTGTGTCACTTCAATATTTTCTAATTCAGTCTTTAAAACGAGATAATTGAATTAAACAGTTTGAACACAACTGAAATATAAAGACAGCACATATACATAGAAATCTAAATTGTTATGCTTAATGACAGATACATTGAAAAGTTATTTAAAAATCTCCTACTGACACCATTTACATAAGCTGTGAGTGAAATTCAAATAAGACAGCATGAAGAGTGAGAAAATTATTTACATTTACATGCTGTAATAGATAAGAAAAAGCCTAATATAAATGAAAAAGTTATTAGCAATTACATAAACACAAAGTATGAGCAGATAATAAAACAATGCATGGTGTATAAAGGTGTGAGATACTCTTATATTTTTTCATAGACTATGCAAACTGAGAGGGAACAGATGAAAGGCATTACTCTCTGTATAGCTTTTACTTTTAGGTTCCTTTAGATAAAGGAGTAAATGTGAGGAGTGGAGTGGGAAAAAACGGAAAGTTTTGCTCAGTTTCCATGAATTGATTTGCCCGGGGAATGCTTACAGCATATAGAAACCTGACAAGAGCCTAATTCTCCTGCAGCTAGGAATAGAGTACGTTTGCTTCCTCGTGACAACAACAGGGGGGAGTAAAAACTTGACAAGTGATATGGTATACAGCTCACGTGTCCCAGAGAGTGGCTGTTTCTTTCCTAATGTAGTGTTGGACTCTCCTTAGTGGGAATCCACAGGAAAATCATAAATACCTGTTCAAACACTTTTATCTATGGAGCTAGGCATAACTGAAAACAGGAATTTAGTGTGGCACTTGCCTGTGTCCAGAATTATACTATTTTAAAAACTGTTTACAGATGGCTGATTTGTATTGATTGTCAAGAAGATTTGTGACTGCAAGGCTTTCTGAACACAATTTAGTCTCTTTGAAAGTACTACTTTCATTGTGCTTGTTTATTTTTATTAATTTGCTTAGAAGAATTTATTTTTTTAAAAAGTTGTGCTCTTAAAGCCATTGCCTTGCAAAGGAAAAAAAACCAAAACAGAAAAACAAAAATTCCCTTATTTCCATACTCATAAAAAATTACTAGCCTCACACATGACTTACTTTAAAAAATATTTTCACATCCAAAATTATAAAAGTGCAAGTATTAAGGAAACAACTGTTTTGAAAGATGAAAGATATAAAGTGGCATGTGTCACCACTATGATAGATACCCCTGCATTTAATTTCTCTTATGGATGTAACATGTCAGTTACATGAGTGATTAGGGAAGGATTGTCATCTGTCTGATCTGCCAAATAATATCAGAAAACTAGTAAAATGACAATTCCCAGAAGAAAGATTTCCAGCCTAACGTCTTTAGCCAGGGCTCTCCTCTTTAATCTGTGCTGTGTTCTTACTTTTTGAAAAAAAAAAATTGCTGGGTTTATATAACAGACTGAAACACGACTTTTTGAAAGCACTCACCAAAAGAAATTATGTTTGCAAAAATCTTTAGCCATAACAGTGTGCTAGAAAAATACATAGGTGATAAGACAAACTTGAACTTCGAACTCATACTTGAAATAACATCAGGCTTGCTTGCAGCCGATTGACTGTCTGCTGTTGATTTTTCTCATTTCAACTGTCAATCATAGTTTTAAGCCTCTCAAAATATCTATTGCTTTTTTATTTTTACAGGTTATGTAATAAATTCATTTAATATAACACTTCAGTGCATTTCAGGAAGATTTTTGCAAACTTCAAATTTAAAAAGAAAATAAATTCCTTTTTTTTTACAAATCTCCCTAAAACTCTGCTAGATGGAAGGAAAAATATGAACTAACAGTTTGTTTACAGCAAACTTGCCATCAGTTCTACCTGTTAAATACAGCACATTGGTATTCTAATAGTGTTTAAAATAAGCACCGTTATTGATCAGGCTGCCTTCAGGTATTAGCAATGTTGCTCAAGAACTCTGAAAAGCAAACTCATCACCATTTCATGACTGCTCAGTGTACTTTAAGAGCAGCAACAAGTTTCCCATACAATTAACATGTTCAGGATATAAAGAGTTTTTCTATTGACAACTGCATTTACAGCTTAAATTAGCTCACAGCCCAGACTGTATTCAGTCCAGTAAGCATCATACTTGACATCACATGAAGGTACTCAAGGGAAATATGGTAGGAAAAGTTAATTATTACACCCAATATATTCCTATTCACATCCTACTATATCATATAGGAAAATAATAGTAAGAATAATTAAAAAAAAAAAGCCAAAATATTAAATGATCAAAAATAAGGTATTTTTGAAAATGCAAAAAACTGAAACTTACAGCAGCAATACTAACCTTAGAACCCTGGACATGCAACAGACAAAACAGACAACAGACCACAACAATAAAAGAAAAAGAAAATTATTTAAGTTAACTAAAAATACATGGCAAATTGAAACAAATTAGTATCTTGGAATCATACATTTGTTTAATTTATAATTAGGATAGCAAAACATTTAAGCTCAGCATGAACATTTGAAAATAAAGACTTCTAAAAGATAGCTATGCACAAGGAAAACTTTAAATCTTGTATTATTGTGGAGTTCATGTAAACAATGATTCTTCCAAACCAATGTATATCTCTTGTATAGCACATAATTTTATGAAGCAATGTAAGCCAAAGTAATGTTTTAGCTGATTATATAGAAATGAGCATTTTACAACAAGCCATTCAACTGAAATGTAATAAAGCAGTTAATCCTTGTATGAGGAGGCAAATATGTTTAAAACACTTTGACAAAAGAAATATAAATCACAAACAGCAACTTAGTTCTTCATGCATAATCTTCCTTCCATGGAAGCAACATTATTATATTACATTTCGGTGTGATTTCTTCAACCTAAACCAATATCAAACTAGATATTAGAATGCTCTTGAACAACAGGGAAAAAGATTTCAAGATCAAGCCTCTTGGACTGAGTTAGTCTTGAAATTCCAATGTTCACAATTAAATATGTGTGTTGAATTTTTATGGTTTAGTTTTAGGGCAGAAACACTTTATCTATTATCACTGTGGACTAGGAGTAAATTCTTAAGTTTTCACTGGTTCTATTTCATAAAGAGAAAGAAACTGAATTTTCAAGAACATGTCAGTATTGCCATTTAAATAGTTGAAAAAAATCTAATCTAACAAAAGTAAAACAGGCTGAAATGAACTGCATGATTTCCTCTGGATAAGAAAATACTAAGCTCAATCACTTTTTAAATGTGTCCTCCTCTTTTTGGAGCTGGATGTACCTTGAGAATGAACCTGCAGGTATTATTTCTCAATTACTAGCTGACAATTTTCATACCAGTATGCCACTGCTGATTCTCAGAATTGTTATAGATCACACAGCACGTGTGGCACCACATGAGTCCTGAACATGATAATGCTAACACTGTACACAGGACATACACCTTGGCTTTTAATCAACAGACTAAATAAGGCCATCTTTAAGTGTTTAATCGAGTTTTGTAAACAGTTCACCAGCAGCACTCAGATCACAATTTGAGACCTGATGTTTTGAATTCCGCAAGTAAGAAATTGAATTATAGTCTTCATAGAATAAGTGGAAAAACAAACTGATTGCAAGGCGTCTGGAAATCTATTCTCAATTGTCACATGTATTTAAACTCCTCAAATTTATTTTGCCCTGCTCAATGTCCTCAAGTCCTTGTCACAACTGCTGTCCTTGTATCAAGCAATGATTATTTCCAATTGCTGGCTTGCACATAATGTTTTACTTGGTAATCAGCTTCTAGTAGCAGAAATAATCTTCTGCAGAACTTTTTCCTTACAAGTTTCATATATTCAATTGGCAACACTTTAAAAATATCAGCATTAGAAGCAAGTCCTTTTACATAAACTGGGACAGAGGTAGTATAGAATTGAAATTGAGGGAAATATTAAAAATTGTGGGAATAGATTAATGCAAACTGTAGTAAGCTTTCCCCTATATTCCATACAAACATATAACCTTCTCTGTACTGTTGAGTCACTCACAGATTTGTGAGTGGTTTGTTTGTAAAGAAAATCCATTATTTTCATTTTTTTCTCCCTTCTGTTCATATTCAAAGACTTCTATTCAGATCATCCTAGTCTGGATTAGAAAAAAAAACAAACAACCAAGCCAAAGTGAAAAGCCCAACCCAAAACCCATGACAAAAGGCAGATTTCTGTTACAAGAATTCAATAGCGAGGAAACTCCTTAATTAAAATTGCCTGTTCTACAGAAGAAGACTCATGGAGTAATCTTCCACCCAGCCCAGAAGAATTGACATTTCACTCGAAATCCAAACTATGCAGAGGAAAAAATTCTTCTGAAATGGGAAATTCTCCAACATTCATGTTTTTAAAGAAACTGTGACAGCACTGCTTTTTCAGCAAGGGAGACAACACAATACAGCATCTCTTGCACAAAAGAAAAAAACCAAAACTGCAATTGCTCCAATGTTCTCAAAGTCATTTTGCTAAATTTATCCTTGGTTCTTTTCTTCAAATAGACTTAATTAATTCAAGCATTCAATATTCAGCATCTCTTCTACTAATGAGAAATAGGTGAATGCCTTTAAAAAACGAGAAGCAACGTGACACATATAAGAACGAGTAACTCTACAGCAGTTAAAATGAGAGTTTTGCAACAGACATTTAGGACTGTTTAATAAAGAGCAGCCCAGGATGAACTCACACCTCACTTGCTTGAACTTAGGCTGACACACTGAAGTCAAGGAACTGTGGACAGGTAGGACTGTGAGAAAAGCAAGAAAAGGAACTACATGCTTCTGTCTGTCATCTTCCCTGTTAGAAAACAAGTAAGCTCTCTCATAAAAAGAGGCTGGATTCGGCTCCAGGTTAACAATCATTCTAGTCACTGACTCTACCAGGATCTAGTAGATGTCTACATCAGAGGTAGTTGAATCATTTGCTTCTGTTGAATAGATCTCTATTGGCCAGAAATCTAGTCTGCATGTAAGCACTTTAAGTGGATCCTGAAATTTACCCTAATCTCTGAATTACATCCCTGTTTTAATCACCCTGAAGTTAAAGGGTGGAATGACCTTTACTGTCTGCCTTATACTCTTTTTGATCTCACATTTCATTATTCCAGACCTAAAAGTAAATTAATTTTTAGAAGCAGATGTAAATGTGTGACCTATGTCACAAATAAAATACACTAGGAGGAAAAAAGTAAGAACTACTACTTTAAAATTTCAATATGGGCCCAAAAGGCCTTCAGTGGGAATATTGGAGAATCACCATTCACCAAAGTGAAAAAGGAAGTAATTAAGTAAAATGAGCTCATACTTGTTGATAAATTGAATATATGCATTACACAGGATCTACAAAATGTGAGGGTTTTGACACCCCAGAAAAGCTCCACAGAACAGAGATATGGAGGATCAGAGACTAAACAAGATGAAGATGCTATGGATTCAGACTCAAGTCTACAAAGTCATAAATGATATGGAGCTGAATAAAGACATGATTAACTACTTCTTTCATAGCATAAACAGTAAGGTACATAGTGACTTTATACATTTAAGTAGGCTTAAAGAAAACAAAGACAAGAAGTGCTTTGAAGGTTATATAATTGCTTTGTCAGACTCAATGCCATAGGATATTATGGAGGCTAAAAGCGTAAGTAGCTTCAAAAAAGATTAGATAAAGTCTAGAAGGATAAATTACTCAGTGGTTATTAAATATGACAGCCCAGACACTCTCTCTAGTTGTTAAAATCCTAAATGCTGAAGCAAAGTGCTATTAGAGCAATCAATATGCTAGCTCAGACCTCTGTATTTTGATGTAAGCTGCAAACATTCACTGTTGGAGGCAGAAAGCTAAAGCCCTTGGGCTGACCCAGTGAGGCAGCTTATGTAGCCTGTGAACAGCTTCCTTTTGTAAGAGTAGAGCAGTACTGCTTCAGTGGACTTCTAATATCACTCCCAGTTTAAATTACAGAATCACAGAATAGTTGAGGCTGGAAGGGATTCATGAGATGTAACAAAAAATCCAGACTCTCTATCATGTGGAAAAAACCCCATTCATTAATGTAATTAACTGTAACAAAGTAAGGTCTACATGAAGATCAAGAGCCACTTTTCCACCCCAAGGCTGACTGAGTAATAGCACAGGTTGCTTAGGGAGGTGATGGAGTTGCCATCCTCAGAGACAGTTAAAAGCTGTCAAAACACAGTCCTGGGCAACTGACTTTAGCTGGCCCTGCTTGAACAGGGGTGTTGGACCAGATGGTCTCCATCATCCCCTTTCCAGCCTCAGCCATTCTGTCTTTGAATCAGTGGGGGAAAAAACCCTATTGGCTCTTTCCTCCCTTGAGAGTTACTCTGGCAGAAAGTGCCACTATCAGACCTGCCCTAAGTGTTTTTATGCAGTGGATATGTCAGATAAATAGTTCAGTTTCAAACCTCTTCTCTCTTCCCATTAACAGCTACTGGAAGAGAAAGAGAGTCTTTTGTAACTGATTGCTAGCACTGGACTCCTTCACCCTTTCAAGACTGAGAAGAAATATATTCTGAACCAGAAATCCATCTACTTTTTCACAGCAGTTCAAGGATGCACAAGTATCAAAAGTCTGATAATTGATATGAAACTTCTTTTCATTTATCACATGATGCATATTAACATGTAGTCTGATGCCCAACAGGGCATCTGTTCCCTGCAAAACTGTGATTCAGAACAATATTGAGGGAGAGCACCTTGTCTAAGGAGGAAGGATGTGTTGTGCTCTTTGTATCCATCACAATGATGAATAAATCCACCTGCCTGCTAATGTTTATGGATGGGGAGTGACAGAACAGGAATGGAGTTGAATGGGAGAGAAGAAGGTCTCTGCTAGGTGGAAGCCATTATCATTATCTAGATAGTAATAGTTATTTCCAGGTGAAGGTAATTTGTGATTTTATCAATTGCTCCTCACCCTCCCTGTACATCTGGGCCAAAAGTAATTTTATTTTTTTTTACATTTCACAGAGCAGTATTAATTCAATTTGAACCCAGTTATTGATCTTTTAGTGAATTACTTTATCTTACAAGTCATTTTTATTTGATTTTCCTAAACAGATGGTAAAATTGAGCAATCAAGTAATACACACAGTCTTCATGTAGTAGAGAAATGCATGCAAAATACACAAATTTGAAAAATGCAGCCTTTTGTATCAATGCACAAAAATCACTGCTACTGTAGCAAGGCAGTATCAACACGCAATATTTTAACACATGGATGTGTAAATTATAAAGCTGTGTCAGTTATCTATATACACACACATATATATATATATATATATTATTCAGAATAAACAGAGGGCAATGGTGGACCTCAAAATTATTATTCCATAGTAATTTCCATTCCTCTGCAGTATCATAAAACAGAATAAGAACTAAAACCCACGAAGACCATTCAATGGAACTGCAGCCTAATTAATGTTGTGCCTGTCTTATATTTTTATATAAAAGATGTCAAAATATTACCACTTTCAAATGATGCCTAAAATGTCTGTTTAAAAAAGGTACCTCCCAATGTCCTTATATCTAGAGGCTGATAGTACAGCCTGAGTTTCAAGATGTCTCAGTGTGCACTCATTCACAGTTGTTAATATTTACAATGAGGCACTTGCTAAATCAGGACCTTGATGTTATTCTTGCGACAATGCACAATTAAAGCATTTCACTTTTGCTTATAGCAAATATTTTTCCAGTTAACACAGTGCAAATAGTGGGGACAGCCTTTTACCATTAGTTGCCTGTCTGAAAGTCATATCAATGTTTGGCCAATTGCTAGCCCATACATTCATACTTTTCAAATAAAATCATGCAGCAAAATAAAGGGTTTTAGGTAGCTAACTAGAAGTAACAGTAGAGGCAAGTAATCACTGTTGCTGAATAGCAAGAACAAGGAATTGAGCTTTTACTGCCAAACTCCATTTGTTGCTCCAATGCCTACTAGCCACTAGAGGAGCTTCTTTGTCCCCTCTGAGTCTCATTGTCTCCCCATTCAAGGACAATATTAACTACAGACGTTTACAGGATGCTCAAGATAAAACATTTAGTATGAAAGAAATCACCACAGATAATTCTATGCACAGACAAGGCATCACATTCAAATACTGTAATGTTGTCAGCAATGTGATAATTACAAAATAGTCCTTCCTTTATCATGAAGCTATTCTGCCTGCCTGACCTGTGATCAGTTAAAATCTTACAAATTCCCAAGAAAATTGGAGTGGATAAAAATATCAACTACTTTCAATGTAAGATTTTTTTTCTTTTTAAAAAGGTGGGGAAAGGACCTACTGAAGGAAGAAATAAACAAAGTAGTGAGGGGACGACTTCTGGTATCATTTGGCATGCAAACAAATAGCAGCCATGCAAAACAGATTCATGAATATCAATGAGTAGCCATCATAAATCATGCAATTTTGTTAGAGTAACCATTATCTTAATGGTCTTCCCTTTAAATGAAGTATTAAATACCTCTGAAATATTATTCTTACTTAGTACTACTTCCCTGATAAAATTAGCATTTCCAATGCAAACTATTGTAAACACTGTATATCAAAGCTTAACAGTTTTGATTATAAATGTAAATTTTTGAAGGAATTAGCAGAGAGGAGTCCCTAAAGAAGAAATGTCAGCTGCAAATAATGGTTTGCATTATTAACAACAATTTCTAATATGACCACTAGGTGGAAATATTGTACTTACAGTTGGGGATGTGGCTGCTGACAACAAGGGTAAAATTCCTCCACAAGCAATAATAATATTGTCTACCATCTGGGAAATGAGGTGTATTGTGTTGTGTACAAAAATAATATTTTCATTGCTATTGACAAAGTCCATCACAGACTTTGTGGAGTGACTGCAAGAACAGAAGAAAGGATGGATTAAAAACAAACAATTAGAACGAAAGTTTAGATAAATTTATTCTTTTCAACCAGACCGTGAATGTTTCTTTGACATGAAGGCAAAATCTTGTCTACAAAACTTTGCATGTAAATTGTCTAAAAATATGAACAAGACCAAATGAATAAACTGATTGCTATCTATTTTCACACAGGATTAGATTCAGATACCTAGTTGAGAACAATGGCTTATAACCTTTTATTCCCATGAACCAGTACTTCACTTCACAGGGAGTTCTAATGAAAGCAATCACGTTGTTTCTGCAGCATGAAAGCAATTATTTAATATTAAGAGTTCACTATGCTGCACTAGTGCCATTTGAAGTACCCTTGAAAACACCTGCTACTGTTTTAAAGGAGAAACTTGATAACATGGTCATACTTTGATCTAATATTAACTTTATTAACTGATATTGGATTTAGCAATAACAATAGCTGGGCAAGCCATAGATGCTAATAAGATGAGATGAAATCTCAGCAACTCCTAATTGGTGAGAAATTGTCCCACGAAACAGTCACTGCCTCAAAATATAAAACCCCTGTGTGAAAATATTTAGGAATACTCAGTCTATAAGTATAGCCTTTCCCCAAACCAACATTTTTGTCAGCCAGTAGACAAAAATTAAAGGCTTCAACTGAAAATATACAATCTGAACTTTAATCTTCAAGCATTACTTAAACACCAAGTACAAACCGCCTTCCACATATTTGTTCAAAAGAAAAACATCAAAATTATCTGTTTCCAAGTGAGTATCAGAGAACAACTCACCAAATTGGTCCTTTGATATAACTATGCTCAAGTTTTCTGAAAAATGAACTATTCTGCCCTGGAAACTAAATAGTGTCTATTGCATTATAGTTACTGAGTACCTCTAATAATGTGTACAAAAATCCTAGGAAAACACATTGCTCTCATAAAATATAACATTAACCACCACGACTAAACCCAACCAGGAGCTGGCATGCAAAAGAAAATTTGTCAATAGAGAGTTTCTTTGGAAAATGTTATAGAAAAGAGGTTGTATTTATAAGGCTTGCAGGCAGAGAAGCTCTCTTTTAATTGATCAGATAAGAAAATGGCTATTAGGAGATACACAAGCCTTCTGTCTGGAACAGAAACAATAAATTCTAATACTAAAAATAAGCTGGAAGAACAGTTCAGTTTAGTTAGGCATGTATGAGTTACACAATCCCTCAAGAAAACAGAAATTGTTACCTGAGAAACAGGGCTGGGAAGGGGTGAAAAGTGAACATAGAACATACAGAAGGGCACTTCAGCTAACACCAACTCTTTCTCTTCCCACTGTCCCAGTATCAGTCCCTCTACAACATATCTCATTTTTTTCATGTTGATAGAAAACACTAATCAGGAGATAAAGAAGAAGCAATCACTTACCTTCTCCAAACATGTACATCTGTTTCTAGTGCAAAAAGCAAGTCTGTCAGGAGCCGCTGGTGCATGGGAGACCATTTAAACTCAGGAATACGAAACATAGTTGTGCGTGGACCTGGACTAAACTGTCGTCGCTGCTCTTCTGTCATTGGCATCCCTCGAAATCCTAAGTCAACACGTAAATCTCGGTCTTGCTGGGTGACAGATCGACCCTGTACGGCCTACATCAACAAGAGGTTCAAAAATCATGTTGACTTGTTGCAATGTGTTTTTAGATGCAACACAATTTGAGAAGAGACTGGCTAAAACGACTCAGCAACAAACTACAGGAGATATTGATATTCCAAGGCAGGCAGTATCCTTTAGTGAATGAGCTGCTGCAATTCAAATTGATCAGTGCTGAGGGGCTAGGGTTGGCCTCCCTTATAGCTATTACCAGGTTCTTCACTTGAAGTATTAGAGAAAAGACCAAATGCAGCACAAACAGTCAGGAGTGACAAGATTTTGTTTATAGGAAACAACGTTTTGTGTTGATAATACAATTTTCTTTGAAGATTTGACTCAAAACATAGACAAACTACAGAGTGATGGCTCAAGGAATGGGTGTACTTTTAGACAGCTCTTCATTTGTCAAAAGCATTTTATTTATCTAGCCTTTTTAGCAAGATCATTAAAGAATGAAGTCTTGTCTCCCGAATCTCATTTTGCCAATTTTGTTACACTTTGTTAATTCATTAACAGTTTTATGGATCCTGGGTACAATTTTAAGATTCTGTCAAGAGGTGGTAGATGTGAAGTTCATTCCCTTTCAATACCTACAAAGTCATGAGTATTTCTATTGATGATTAAAGACAACAGTAAAGCTACACATAGAGGATATGATGGAGAATACAGTAAGGGAAAAGTAGTAGAGAACAAACAGTATCACTGAATTTGAGGCAAATATTCATAACTGCAAAATTACTTAAAATGTACAATATCTCTGAAAGGGAAAAATACAAAGTCTGATCCTTAAAATTACTTTAAAGTGTCTTTAGATTAGTTAAAAACTGACAAAATATAAAATATACTTGCTTTGCTCACATATTTATTTCCCAATCTCACCATACTATTTTAAATCTGGACATTTAAAAACAAAAGAGAACTTGACAAAACATTTGTGCTATCAGTGTAAAAATGGCCATGGCACTGGGGTTGAGCTGAAAAGCTTCTTATACCTTTAGGCTGATTTTGATCTCCGATAGTCAGCATTTTGAGAGCAAGGTTTCCTTCATTCAATTTGGGACCAAAGTTGTTACTGTTATTTTCATTTCCTATGTTTTTCTTAGAGTTATCTCCAAATGAGGTTTTTGGTTTTGTTTGGCTTTTTTTTTGCATGAACTTGTGTATAGTGGTTTCGAAACTATTTTCAGTCTTTTCTAGGTGGGAACCTAGGGAAGAGTAAATTTTATATTCTTCAATATTTGATCTATTATTGATAAATGCATTTACTCTTCTTAGAAGTAAGCAGTAGTTCACATCTCTGTTGGGCTTTTTTTTTGTTTGCTTGTTTTCTTTCAGTCCATTTGAAGAAAAGACAGCTTACTTCTTACTGATAAGGCAAGGAGCTGATTGTAGATCTGTTTTTAGAGAATTTGAGGGTAGCAACTCCAATCACATATCACTTTTTCTCTTTTGAACACTACCACAGATAGCTGTCATGTCAGCAGCAGTAACAGTATTGTAACTGCACTGTAACAGGAGAGCTTTAATCTAGCCAATACTACTGCATTTCAAAGAATGGGATTTGAAGTGCACTGCCACTGCACAAGCAAGCATGAAACCCAACTGCCTACACTTAGGTTGCTGGTCTTTAAGTACTTTTCAGAGTTTTCAGTGGTCTCAAGGAGATCAGACCTAATGGGGCAGTTACCTCACATGCAGCAATCAAAACTCCAATCTCCAGCTCCACTGTAAACATGCTAAAATTGACATTGCTCATTTCTCATGAAAACAATAATTCTCCATTTATGTTCTATTTAATACTAAATATTTAATTTATTTAATTTATTTAATATTTCAGTCCTTTTTTAATAAGGTTAACTTCATTTTAGAAGAAATATTTAACCATAAACAGCTTTGAGTTTGCAAGGTATTTCAAAACACTACAAGAAGGGATCAGAAGATAGTAACAATTCTGCTGGTTTCACAGTTGATAATTCTTTTTAGGAAAATTATTTAAAAGATCTATTAATGGCTACATACTTAAATCCATCCATTGCAGTTTATAATTGATTTTAGTGGGAAATAATTGTAAATTAAGTAGTATGTGGAGAATCAAGGGATGTAAATAACTCAGAGTCAGAGTCCTGAAGTATACACAGTTTGTAGGTAATATGCAGATCCAGATGATATGCTAGAAATTGTGCAAGTAGCTAAGAATAAATGTATTTGGAAAGCATTTTGCTTCCCCTATGTGACAATGATCTGATAAAAGTTCATTCAGATTCATGTATCATTTTAATCCTAACAAATAACTATAGCCTTAAGGAATTAACATTTTTATAATTCAACTGCTCCAGGTGAAATTCATCAAGAAAATAGGTTAAACCCCAGAAAAACCCCAAAGTCACACCAACAGGATTTTCTGAAGTAGCTAGTACTGTCAGATTACCTTTTTCATTAAAGATTTATCTTACAAATTTACTCTGTTCATGGGTACATATATGTATGTAGTAAATGAATATTAGCATTTCACTTGTCTTTTATTCTTTAAACAAAAATTCACATTTTGAAAAAATCCATGACTGTATTTTTTTTCTGGCTATTTCCCTTTCATTCCACTTGTCATTTCCTGTGGTATTAACATCTTAAAATCAAAGACTTAAAACAAGATGGTAACTAGTAGTAAGAGCTAATAATATTCCCATTTTGAGCTTTCAGGACTTTTTCCTTATTACACGGAATGTTTTTAAATATAAGGATCCCTAGACAATGCTTGATAGGGTGTCACTGATGTTATGAGGACTTTCATAGCTTTGAAAAAAACCAGTTTTTTGATGGTGGTGGTTTGGTTTTGGGGCTTTTCGTTATTGTTGGGTTTTTGTAAGGGAAGGTATCTGATTTGGAAACCATGGGTTGTTTAAATAAATTAAAATGTCCGTTCACTGAAGGTTTTCTGAAAGTATTGTCACTGTGAAGAACAAAGTGGGCAGGCTGATTTGTATTTTTTCATCAGATGATATGTACTTTCAAAGTACTTGAGTGTATATCTGAAATTCTCAAAATTTAGTACACACTACATAGTAACGGGCAGAGCAATTTTTGCAATTAATGTTTGCTTCACCTTCCATAGTTTCAGTAAGTCTGCTTGATTTTAAAATCCTAGAGGATAAATACTAGTGTACATACTAGTCATACAGTCAGGTAGTAAAATAATGAAGGTAGTCAATTCTTCCACCTGATAGCATCCTTAAAAAATTCTTCATTATGTGCTACAGACTCTGAACAATATCAGTGAGGAAATGAATCCTGTGTTTTAAAAGTTAAAAACTATCCCATATTTTGCTCTGTATACAGAGTACAAATTCTTTCAAAGAGTAGTCTTCTGCCCTGGCCTTCCCATTTTCTGAATGCTACGGCTGTCACAAAAATACTCATTTATCAGAATTTTTCAGAGGGAGACCTAGACAAGAAAGGATCTCCAAGAACAAAGTAGATTGTTCTTTTTTTATTAATCATCTCTGGTCTGCAAATCAAGTACAGTTTTTTTTCTATTATCCCTAAACCATTTCTAATCTTGTGTTACAATCAAATATACGGATAATTTCTGCCAGCATTCCTATGCAGGAGGAAAGACAGTGTACTAAAGTGCTGTGAGACTACACTCTGAAAATGGTACAACAAGAGTAAAAAAACCTTCAATGTGTACACTTCACAGTAAAATGTAGATATTTCTAATTTAAGACATACTATCAAGAAAGTCTGAAGGAGAATTCTAAGAGTACCAGTTAATCTGTTCAGAAGAACTTCAGAAAAGGGGTGAGAGGTTCCCTCAGCTAAGTTCTTTTAACTATAGCATCCACAATTGCAATACATATTTTCTATACAGACTTCAGAACCCTTATACATTATGGCATTTTCAAAGCGAATTGGCTTGGAAGGTGGACACTTTTCATATAATTGAGGAAATATACTTTAAACATCTCTTGTATCTCATACTATTAATTTATCCTGCAGCAATGAACAGTGATTACATCAGACACATACATGGCTACTTGAAATTTACCTGGGTTGTGGTTGTTGTCTGGATCTTCCGTATCTCCTTTCCTGCTTCTTTACCATCATCAGATCTCTCTGTATCTGATATTATACTTCCTGCATCAACGCTAGGTACGGTTTTGCTACCAGAGGACTCTGTCTCAAGAGTTGTGGCAGTCATTTCAGCATATTCTAATCCTTTAGATGATGAAGACAACTCCCTCTCAGAAATGCTACTCATTCCATCTGATGTTGTGTGAATCTTGAACTCCTTGTCCTCTATTATACTTGAAGCACAAGTTATATCTACATTACCTGTCATATGTGCAAGCAATCCCAAATCATCATTTACACCAAGATGAATCTGTGTCTCTTGCACATTTGGAATCGAAATATGATTACTTGAAAGTTCAGGTAGAAGTTTCTCCTCTTGACTAGGTATTTTATCAAAGAGAAATGAGGTATTGTTAGTAGAAGGTTCATCTTTCTCATCAGCCAGAGTTATTAATGGACCATTATCTTTTTCCTCATTCTTCTTAATAATACCCACACTTCCATGAACATTGTTTTGGAGTTTCTCAACTGCTGCACTGTATACATTATCCAGAAGGGATTCAACCTCTACAAGTGCACCATTTTCTCCAGTTACCAGTGTCTCTGGTGATAAATCCATATCATCAAGTTTTACTTCAGTAGCTTCTACTTTTTCAGCTTTTATATCAACTAAAAGGTCATGAACTTCCACATGCACTCCTCCTCCTCCTGGCCTCTCAGCATTTCCAAGCACATCATCTGACACCTTTGTAGCCATGAGCAAGTCCCTCGTATCTGTGCTGACAGGGTAATCTGTTTCACTTTCTGGACTTTGGCTCTGTGAAAGATCTTCTATCTCTCGAATTTCCATTCCACCTTTTGCTCCTGTTGTCTGAGAGGAAAGACCTGAGATGGTGCTCACATTCCCCTTCTTCCCCTTTTTTATGTTCTCTTCCTCTTGCCTTTGATACTCTTCATACATTTTTGCCAGATATTCCTTGTGAGCCTCATATGTAACCTTAAAAACAAAAGAACAGATCATGTGGACGAATATATGCTACATGAATTTGTACAAAAACTAACAAGAAACCGAACAACATATTACATACAGCTTATGAAGTATTAGACAAAAAAAAAAAAAGAAAAAGCCACCTTGACATGAATGGCCATAGCCACCAGATGGCACAAAATCACTTTACATCCTGTATTACTATACAGCTAGTCCCTTTGGGGGAGTTACCAATATTGAAAAAAAAAGCACGAGCCATTTCTTACCTTGGAATGAGCTATAGAAAGAGTATCCACCCACACTCTCCAGCCTCCCCATTCATATTTTATTGCATGATACAAGAGAATACGGAAAATGTTGTAAACCATTTCTGTGATCTTCTGCTCCTCAGAGTTCTTAGGGTTAATGTATCCCAGAGAAAACATCCAGTCCTGCCACACTGAACACTGAAGTAAACATCTAAAGTGAAATAATTAGGTCAAAATGTATCCAAACAAAGCTTCTTTATTTTAACATTATGATGGTTAAGATGGGAGGAACATCTTCTCTGAACAACAATCCAATGGTAGGAATAAACTTAAAAATACTTCAGTAGGAACAAAAACTTAAAGTGCATTCTAAACAGAAGAATCCAGTATTAGTTGCCAAACTAAGAAAAGTTACCACAAACCTATTAAATTTGATTTAAATATATTTAATTTATGATATAGTATAAAACTCTACACAGAGTATAACAGATTTCTATTACCTACAAATCGAGGATGAGGAAATATATTTTTAGTGACATACCTTCTATTTTCACGGCTATTACTAAAGAGTTTTATCATATCAGATAAGAACAAGCGTCGAACTTCCATCAGCTCTGCACTTGGTGTGGAGTTTTTTAACAGCGTTGCCACCACCTTAAGAATCACTTTGAAAGAATAAATTAGTTATGTAAAGCACTTTAACCATGTTTAAAAAAAGAAGTAGTTGCTGACAGCAACTAATGTAAGTAGCAACTGAAACCATATGAATTTAAGATATCCAAATTAAATGTTCTTACATCCTGAACCACGTTGTTTGGAAAAACCCCACAACCTCTAGGTGATACATTTATCATACAAACATAATATGGTGTCCTTACTTGGATTCTGAATTTTCACCGTCGAATCTGGCTCTGGATGTGGTTTATGAACAACCTGGGTGCATACTTGTTCTGTCAAAATCTAAAACAGAATATTAACTTCCTTTTACCATTTTTAATAAAACACTACAGTATTTCTTTGTTCATTTTTAAATTTCTTAAGAACATTTACAATAGCCACACTGTAACTTTATGATAGAATAAAATATTGTTAAAATATTTTAATTCTTGAAAAATGGTATGAAGCAAATCCTCTACGGAAGGATCAAGATTTTCATGGTAGTAGAGTGGCTGGTTAACTAACCTTTTAGTCAGTTGACATAAATAGCAAATATAAACTAATGGTATTTTAAAGATGGTATTTTATTCATATTTCTGAAAGTGTTATACATTCACAGAACAAAAATTCTTTCACAAGCTCTATGCATCAAAAATTATTCTCATACATTTCATCCATAACTAAACCAAATAATTCTTAAAAGTGGGTTTGGTTTTCTCTAGCTGTTAAAGAGGAGGAGTCACAGACAGCATAACAGGAAAAATACCAGGGCTTCACATAATGAGGAAGACAGAGCATTCTCCTCTTGCATGAATTGTACATGACAAACTAATTAATCTATATTGAGGCAACACCACAAACCTTTCACCCTGGGGTACCTGCCACTAGATCTGTGTATGTAACTTCATTTTTAGGAACAAGCTTAAAACTCAAAGATATTAATACAGGAGTACATTCAAGCAAATGCATTTCAAAATAGAGTAATCTCACTATCAAGATTTATTTTTGAAGCAGAACTGTAGCTCATTCGTTGAAAAATAATCAAAACCATGTCACTTATAAAACAATATCTTAGAATAGGTCTTTACATACTGATATTTTAACTAGAATGCATATAAATATGCCTTTTCATGAGAGAACATGGAAAACATATGCATCAGTTCATCTGCAAATCTTCTGTACTTATTGCTCTTAGCTCCTTTTTCCCCTCCTCTGGCTATTTTTTCAAATGTAAATGTCTGTGGATGCTGAACTCCACAAGGACTATGATTTTGTCAATGAGTTATGTATTTTCTGAGAATACCAATCACAGAAGTTCTCAGAAAACTGAATGAAGGAACTAGGCTGTGAGACTCAAGTGGTCAAACAACATATCTAACATAAACTTCGATATGTGCAATAAAAAAATAGCTTGACATCCAAATAACTAGCAAATAGATGATGTTTACGGTTTCACAATCATAGAAGAATATTTTCTACATCACTCAGACTTTGAACCCTAAGTACCAAGCACTCTCTTAGTCTTCTGTGTGTTTTCTGGAACCAATCCTGAGCACCTAGCCATTACATATATTTGTGACAAAAACAAATTAAAATTCTTTCTAGTGCATAAGATTTTCAGAAATTTCAAGAGATACAATTCTATGTCACCATTTTAGATATGACTCAAGATTAGACATGAACATGCATTTGAAGGCATGAAGACAGGGGTTTCAACCAACCTGATGTAGTCAACATTTTGCTTTAACAAAACTGCTCAACATCAAAACTGAAGTTTCTACAAGAACCTGGTAGAACAGCTGAATGCTCTGAGGTCATACTCACTGGCCTCAAGCAGCATCTGCTAAAAAAGTGGCTGTGTTCAGTTATCACTAGGCATAGTTAAAAAAGAAAAACAGCACTTTTCAAATTTTTGCAAACTTGAAAGGGATGGCATGAAAAAGAAATAGGAAGAGAAGGAGGCATCCCTGACTCCAGCACTGACCAATTCAATTTCAATGGAAACAAACTCCTCCAAATAATGGAGGAGGAAGAGCAATTGGAGGCCTGCAGTAACTTTTTTTGTGTGTGTGGAAAGTGATGAACATTTTAAACAGCAGGATCTCTTCCATCACAAGTGGCAATTTTTACAGAGCCTATGTATAAATTATGACATTGGTAATAAAAACATCTAAAGCACAGCAAAATACATTGTGAACCAAAAAATCCATTCTTAATATTTCTAGAAGTTTCTCAAAAGTATTGAGAATCAAGACAGTGTAAGGCACAGATATTTGTAAGGCAAAATATTTACAGTAGGGATGACAATTTTTATGTTTAACAGTTTGTACCTCATAAAGCGTGTTATATGTTGTAATGGTCACTGTATTTGTATGCAGCATCAACCTTTCTCCAAGAAGTGTGAAAAGACTGTGAGTATGCATGATTTCAACCTTTCTCCTGTAAGAGAAAACAAAAACATTAGGCAAATGCCAAGCATATTGAACATTTCAAGTAAACAAAATTAAACCCAAAAGCCAAATATTTTGAAGTTGTACTATAAAGCTCCCAAGTATGTTATTCTGCAAATACTAGGAAATAAACATCATTTAAGGTACTGCTCAAGATGAATGTGGTTGTAGCAATGCCTAAGGTTCTCAGAAAGCAATGCTGTATTTAGGATGTACTTTTGCATAAAGTAAATCACACACTGTTCTCACTCTGCATGATTTTCACAGTGGAAAAAGACAAAGTAATCCCCTTCTGTCTTACTCAGGGTAAAGAAGTTCAAGATGCTCACAGGCTGGCTAATATGTGATCACTGAAGAACACACCTTTTGTTGCCATTCAAGGACTCAGGACTATCCAATCTCATATTTTCCAACACTAATACTAACACATACAGATTTATCCATACTGTCTTTCTCTTTTTATAGCACTCTGTCATGCAGTCAAAGTAATTTAACCCTGGAATAACACACATTGCAATGCAAGAGAAATAAAATAATGAAAAGTTATGAAATTCCACAAGTGAAGTAAATTTCATATCTAGGATAAAAAACTACTAAAATCTCTAAAAGCAGAGAAGAAAGCAGATCAGATCAATGAATTCCATCTGTCCCCAAACCATGCCTTTTAAAAATTGGATCTAATATAATAAATAGACTAGTTCTCATTAAACTGACATACTACTATAAGGAGTATGAAATAAAATCATTATTCAAAATAATCAATAATCTATATTAAAGCAGCAGAAAAATATTAAATAAGATAAAGTACAGTAAAGCTCCTGAAAAATTCATGCATTCAAAAGCTAAGAAACTGTCTTTTCATGAAAATTGCACAGATTTAAATCACATAGATTCATTCTAGAACTTTTGACATTAATACATTATGCTAAAATTTTCAAATAACCAAAAAAGAGAATGGTAACAACTGAGAACAGAGTGTACTCTTCTGTGCACAGAAGGGAATTTGTGAGTTACTTATGCAAAAACCTACAGGTATTCAAACTTGTAAGCTATGATTTAGCACATGAAAGTGGAAATTTATTGGAAGGTTTAAGTGTGCAGATAAAACCCAAAAGTAAATAACGGACTATGATTTCAAGTGGTGGCATAGAAAGAATCAGAGATGGCAGAGAAGGAAGGGAACAGGATTTTGTCAACTGTTAAGGTTATACAAAGTAGTCTATCATCACAGATCACATAGAAAAATCAATTAAGTTATTCAGCCTCTCATCTAACACATTAGTGGTCACTTCTCCTGAGACTCAATTACCTTCATACTATAGCTTCATCTGCCATGCATATATATGAGCTACAGCAATGGTAATTGCAATACATTTGTTAGTAATATTGCAGCAGCTCAGATTTCATAAATAATGTGACATCTCTTTATGCAATTCTGCTTCAGTGTATTAAAATACAATGCCTGTTTCCTGTACTGTAAAACAGAAATCTAAGTGCTTTATAATTTCATGTAGTTTATAACTTCATAATTGCTTAAGATTTCCAGTAGCTGACTTCAACTTTGTAAAATTATCCATATATGCACACATCTATATGTGCACAAATAGGCACACCTCACAAGCACTAGCTGTAAGATACTAATTTTTACCTGATGAAATCTACATAAAATATGCACATTTACAGATGTTCAGTGCTCGGAAAATTTAAAAAAAGTCTTTGAAAGTTACATGGAATATTTGAGTGTATTTCAATGACTCCAATTACAGGAAAAACAAAGATAATTTTGTGCTAAGTACGTAAATTCACTTAACAATGGAAACTATACTGATATAAGCATAATTGCAAGTAGATGCTAAGGACTGGGAAGTGAAATTTCAGCTTCTGAAAAATCTCACTTTTCTTTTTCTGTAATGTTCCACAGACATAGCTTGCTACTTGATTTTCTGGATAAGCGATAAATATTTTAAACAAATGCACTTATCTGGACACACCAGGCTTCTGACAAGCCAAAACTTCATCTGGTGTATCTTACTTAATCCAACTCCTATCAATGTGAATGATTTTTTGTAAGTAACATTTGAAAAGCCCTTGAAGATCCTTGAGTGGACTATCAATTTGCTTTATTAATTCCCAGAACACTATTTGACTTGCTGGATCCCAAAAGAAAAATCCCATTTAGGAGCATATTCTCAGCTGTCTTTCAATTATACAGTCATACTTTATTGATCTTGCTGAGAAAAGCATGTCTAGCAATATTGCACGCTGGCTGGGCTCCTACCTCCTTTCCCTCCTAAGGAGGCTTACATGATCAAGTCTCTTGTGAAGCATGTGGTTAATTTTTATACTGCACAACCTCCCACTGAAATGCCATTTTGGGCTAATCCCAGCAGGAAGCTTAACACCACATGTAGAAAGGGAAAAGTGAGCAGCAGCAGGTTACATGGCATTGCATGCTTGTTAATGCTTTCTTGACACCATAATATGGAAGGTGAGACTAAACATCATGACATCAGTTCTTTTAAAATGTGATTATTTCTTGCTGCCACACTTTATATGTGAGTATTTCTTGCACAGAGATATGTTCTTACATCCTTTTTTAATCACCACTTGCTTGATTTGTTTGCTCTTCCTTCTTAAACTTTCCCATGTCAGTAACATATTTTTCTATTTCATTTTCCCATCCTTCTAAGGCTTTTTTTAAATGTACTGCCCTAAAACTTTTATTGCAAATACACTGATAATTCCAGAAATGTTTTCTTTTTATGACACTCATATGTTTCTTGTTAACTATAGCTGACTATTCAATTTTTTTGGAAGTGTTTTTCCATTGTTTTAAGACTTGAGTTTACATAAGCATATCATGTATTTGGAAGACAATCAATTCATCTTTTCAAATATCACAGTAATGCAAGTTAACTGGAAAAATTCATTTTATCCTAATGTATAAAGGTAACTGTGCAAAATATTAATCAGAAAACCTAACAATTTTAAATCATTTCTAGACTGTCAAAGAATACACAGCAATCATGACAAAAAGACAAGAATTGTGAACTTAAATACTCCACCAATAAAAATCTTAAAACCACACTTACTTATGACCCAAGTGTTTAAGAAAATATCCAAGGACCTTCAAAGCTTGCACCCATATACTTTCACTTTTGGAAGCCAATAACTTATAAATTACTCTAAAAAAAGAAAAGCAAATTCAACAAACATATTATTAAACATCACATATATAGATTGTATTTCACCACACAGGGATATTTGTTAAGAAACAACAATAAAAATAGCAATTTACGCAAAATGGCAGGATGTACTGAAAGAATCAAGTGCAGTGTAAGAGTTTCACTATCAATTCTTGAGGTTGGAGACATGGTGTTTTCTGGTTCAGTTCAATGTTTTATATCAGAAAGTGACACCTTATCTTATACTTCTAATCTCAGAACAATCAAATAAAAGACAGTCTGAGCAGTTGTAGTTTAAGACAAGGGAAGCAGAGTGGAACACATAGGTTATATCCTGGAGTTTCTTGGAGCACCTGAATGCTAATGAAAATCTCCTTTCATTACACCCTCTGTTTTTAAATGCTGGATTAAAAAAAGGCCTCAAAAATAAACTCATGTAATGACCACATATTTAATTAATATGGTAGGTTTAAACACAAATTCTGCAGTCTTTAAGAAAAGAAACCAGCCTTGATCTGAAGTCACCAGGAGACAGAAACATTACCCTTCCTCCTTTTCAATTTATATTTTAGTTTCCCATTTCAATTATCTTAGCTTCAGCTTTTAGCCACACCTTCTAGTCTTTCTCCACTAAAGAGTTTGTTAGCAGACAAGATCTTCGTCTTTTGAAAGGACTTATGCCATTATAAAATGACTTCCAAGGCTTTTGCCCTCTGATAACCTAAGCAGATGAACCTCCACATTCTATATAAAGTTTGCTGTGGTTTTGTGAGGTTTCTGTAATACTTTAATGCTACAATTCTGTGCATTCTCCTGACTTTTCTAACACAGACTTTTGAATGCTGCACCATCAAGCAGTCTTAATATTAGTACCACAAATGTTACATAAAGAGGTCTCCAGTCTTCCAGATCAGTCTTACCCTTCTTCAAAAGCTGTCAGAAATACAATTCTCTCTGAATGCAAACTATAGGCAGAAAACAAAGTCCTAACCATGAGTACAATGAGCCTTCCCTTCAACTAGTATTGTAATTCAAACAATTTTAAGTACACAAATTTGTACAAAGGTCTTCGCATTTTGGCAAAATAAAGCTTGAATTTATCAACTAATAGATATTGTGGGGCTTTTTTTCCCCTTTTCCCTGTTATTTTCCAAAGTATTTTCAGAGCAGCACAAAATAAAATTCCATAGTAAATATTAAATTATTAACATTTTAAAATGTTATTACAAAATTAAGCATAAAAAAACCAACAAAAATACCACTTCTCTGGGAATAATCAGTTATTATTGCCATTGTCAAGAAGATAAACATATGAATTCCACTCTTTTCAGAGAGAATTTGAGAGGGTAGGGAACAATTTGTCTTGCTTTCTTCTTCTCTCCAGATTATATTAAACATACAAAGAAAGAGTATTCAAAAATTTTCTGAGATAGACACTTGGCTTTTTGATGCATCTTGTTAATTACATACTGTATTTTAGATTGAGAGGCAAGTACAACAGTACATTTACCTTGAAATATCATAATGATAACTTTAAGTGGAATTTTTTTCCCTCCAACTTACTGTAAGCACTAACTTTGTCAAAAAATAAAGGCCAAGTTAATAAAATTGGTGTTTGAAAGATCAGTGTGATATTTTATGAAAAAGAATGAAACTGCAGAGCAATAAAACCAGAACTACTTTTAAGGCATTTTCTCACTTCACTCTTACCGTATCCCATTTCTCTGATCAAAGGCAGGTATCATGGATGCTGGATGTTCGGACATTAGTGCCACTAGCAGCTGCAGCACATCATGAATATTTTCATCCTGTATGACAAGCATCAGTGTTATTCTACAAACTAACAGCAAGCTTCCCATACAGCTGGTACAATTGGTTACAGTAAAATTACAGGTAATTACAGAAATGTACCTCATGCATTGTTAATAAGTAATTTAATATGCTCTGCAGTTCATCTTCTTTCACTCCTCGATCCTAAAAGAAAGAAAAAAAAAAAAGGGGCATCATTCAGAGAAAATACATTCTGCAAGTTTGCTCAAGGAAAACTTGGACCAAGTCAAATAAACCTACAACTTTTCTATTTAAACTTTAAAGACTAAATTCTCTCTTTCATTCTACTGCTTTTCCTTATCACATTAACAATTCAAAACAGTATAAGGTCAGTCCTCCATTCCTGATAGAAAAAATTCTTATAGTGTGGGCCCTCAGACATTACAAACTATTACTGTCAATCCTCAAGTTTCTGAGACAGAACAGAAAAAAACAAACAGGAGGAAAAAGCCAGGCCAGAAAATACAGGGATTCGGTCTAGTTTCAAATGGCAGATTATACCTCAAAGACTAGTGTTCAGCTGTAGCAGAGAGAAAGAGACCCAAGGCCACTTCAACCAGGGGCAAAACCAAGAAGAAGGATAAAGCGATAACTAACTTAACAACTGACATTACCTTTTTCATAAGACCA